ACCAAACTTTCCTTATTTTCAATATTTTTGGAATTTAAAAAATATTATTAGTCAGATTTATAAAGTACCATTAAGTTATAATGTACATTTGAATCATTTCATTTTGAAACCACCTAATATTTTCTAATTTACTTACCACTTCTTTAATTCTGTGAACATTTCAAGGTATGTAAAAATAAAACACCAAATTATGACTAATGTTTCTAGTATCATAGAAACAATATTATTTATTTATTTATACATCACGTGATTCTTTTAGAATCGTACACATAAAAAATTGTCTCCTAACAAACATTTAATAGAGCACAGTGATTTATCTACAATCATTAAAAAAAATGTATTTTTTTCATTCAAGAAGGCGGATATCTACACGCGAATACGCAGTTTTGTTTTTTAATCATTCATATATTACAAGCTACCTTGTCACAAGTCGGGCCACAACCCAAAAAACGATAGCAAAAGTCAGATTTATGGGGTGCACTGCGTTTTAAGGCATAGGCGCCGTAATATGCAACACCTCCAAATTTATTCGGGGGTGTTCCGTTTCGGGCGCCTAATTTGGACCACACTGTAGAACCGACATTACAAATTGACTAAACGCGGCTACTTAACAGTAAACAGGGACTTTTAATTTACGAAGTTGCCGGTTCTGGGCATAAAAGTGACCTTCGGATTTGCCAGTGTTGCAGCACGTAAAAGATCACGTTGGTCCACATAGTACATACACTATATACAATATTAAATAATTGAGACTCATATAACCACAATTTTGGCACTTAAGAGTATTTTTGAAAGCATAATCTATGACACCCCGTTTTAGCATTTATTAGATAATAGTTAAGCAATTTAATGATGTTAACAGAAATTTACAAAGTTTAATTTTTTTTAAACTCAAAACAATTGATAGTGAAAACATATTTTAAATATAAAATACAACTTTAATACTTTAAGCTTAAAAATATTGATTATTAAAAATTTTAGTTCAAATATTTTTTTCTACAAAATTTTCGGTTTAAATTTGTAAAGAGTCATTTAAATTATAGTCGATACATTTTAAATACAAAAATTCTCACATTACATTTAAATGTAAGTTTTAAATTTTAAAGTGGTAATTTTTACATTAAACATTTATCTTTATCTTTACAAATTCAAACCAAAACTTGTTATTTTTAACAAATTTAATACATTTTTAACACAAAATTTATAACTTTACATTTAAATGTAAGTCGATAATTTTTAATTTACAAAGTGTAAACGTAGCTTTAGCAGACGGTTTACACTTTGTGAATTAAAAATTATCGACTTACATAATTTGATGTGAATATGTTTGTGTTAAAAATGTATCAATTTAAATTTGTTAAAAATAAAAGTTATTGGTTTAAATTTCCCAAGTCATTTAAATGATTTGTAATCCAAAAATTACAACTTTAAAATTAAAAACTAACAATTAAATTTAATGTGAGAATTTTTGTGTTAAAAATTTATCGACTATTATTTAAAAGACTCTTTATTTAAACCAACAATTTTGTAAAATAAAATATTAAAACTACAATTTTTAAAAACCAGGTAATTAAACTTTAATATTTGCATTTTATATTTAAAATATTTTTTGAACATCAATTGTTTTGAAATTAAAAAAATTATTTTTTAAAGCATTTTGGTAGAAAATGTTTTGTGTTTTTATTTTAAATGTCTCGAACTATTATTCAATTATACTAAAATTTTTAGTGGGAAAAATTTTAAACCAATAAAATTTTAAATTAACAAAATATTTAATAAAGGATAAAACGGCGCGCCATAATAATCTTATTTAATTTTATTATTTTATTACCGGTACTGCAACATTGGATTTCGAATTAAATAATAAATAAATAGCGACAAATTAACTAAGAAGGATTAAGTTTTAAATAAATTACCTAAAATCGAAACAAAAATTATGTACAATACGATAAATAAATTAGAAATAAAACACGACGCGTTTTCTCATATATGCAATATTTATCACAAAATTATTCTGCTATAATATGAGAACTCACTTAAAAAAGAAGTGTGTGTTTTTACATTGTTGTCACGTACGTAAGCAATAATATTTACATTCACTTTTTAGGCAGTTTTAAATATTTATCTACATTCACAAAAAATGATACTACTTGTAGCTTCTAGATATTCTCCCCGCATTTTACAATAACGTTGAAAAATTGTCAACAAATTCGGATATATTTACACACACATTTACAAATATAAACGACTGCAAAAATATCTGTTTTTTAAGTCGACGGCAGCCCTTTTTGATTACGCTATGAGATCATTGATTAAAATAAGAAATGTATTGCATTTAATTTAATTAAAAAAAAAATTACGTCAATTTCTGGCACTACATAAAAAATTCCGCCCGTTAAAACTTTCTAATTAATACTAATAATAATAATAATATTTACATCACTTGCGTTTTGATTTTTTTTTCAAGATGATATTTTTAGGAATGCTTTCCAAATTTTTTAAAATTGTTCCCAAATACCTCAAACAAAATTCTAACACAGCTTTGAAAGACTTTCGGTCGGCCAAATTAACTCAAAACTACATAATACTGACAGCCATTCAAAAGCAGAATTATTTTATGTAATACCATTGCCCAATACATCATTTAAGTACACTGGGTGATAATTATTTATTATTTTCCTTGAAATACGCACTTTCTATAGAAAACCTCTATAGAAAGCGATAAACCAATGGGAGCGCGGCATTCTCCACAGCACACTAGGTGCGATGAAGAATACCGCGCTCTCATTGGTTTATTACTTTCTATAAAGATTATTTTCTATAGAAAGTAGAGTACAAAGAAAACGATCTCTACGGAAAGAAATAAACCAATCGGGGCACGGAATTCTACACGGCACACCAAGCGAAGAATTCCGCGTTCCGATTGGTTTATTGCTTTCCATGGGGATCCTTTTCTGTAGAAGGTAGAGGCGCGAATTTCAAGAAATACCCCCCTGTAGTGTGAAATCATTTTTAAATAATAAAAATAATAGAGCCCACTGGCAACAAACTGTTTTTTTTTAATTTAAATAGTAAATTTTGAATTTTGGATCCTAAAAATTTATAACGTTTGTTATATTTTTGTAATTTTAAACTGTTGTGTATGATTTTGTTTTAATTATAGGAAAAAAAATGTAAAAAGGTTACCTATAAGAAAGCACAGTTTGTTGACCAATGAAAACTGGCAACAAAAATAACATATCACTCTGTAATTGGTGCGTTAAGCGTAAAATTTTCAAAATTTAGAAATTTTGAAAATATTTAATTTTTTTTTCTTTAAAATCTGCCATATTGGATGTATTAATTTCTATCTTTCTCTAAATTATTATTTAAAATGGTGTAAAATGTTATTTTTGTAGCACACAATTTCCATGATCATTTAAGTACACTGGGCGATTTAAATAATTGATATCATAATTATTTTCCTCGAAACTCGCGACTTCACTTTCTATAGAAAATAATTCTATATCAAGCGATAAACCAATCGGAGCGCGGCATTCTCCACAGCACACTAGGCGCGATGAAGAATGCCACGCTCTCATTGGTTTATTACTTTCTATAAAGATTATTTTCTATAGAAAGTAAAGTACAAAGAAAACGATCTCTACGGAAAGAAATAAACCAATCGGGGCACGGAATTCTACACGGAACACCAAGCGAAGAATTCCGCGTTCCGATTGGTTAATTGCTTTCCATGGGGATCCTTTTCTGTAGAAGGTAGAGGCGCGAATTTCAAGAAATACCCCCATGTAGTGTGAAATCATTTTTAAATAATAAAAATAATAGAGCCCACTGGCAACAAACTGTTTTTTTTTTATTTAAATAGTAAATTTTGAATCCTAAAAATTTATAACGTTTGTTATATTTTTGTAATTTTAAACTGTTATGTATGATTTTATTGTAATTATAGGAAAAACATTGTAAAAAGGTTATAAGAAAGCACAGTTTGTTGACCAATGAAAACTGGCAACAAAAATAACATATCAAAATTTTGAAAATATTTAAATTTTTTTTCTTTAAAATCTGCCATATTGGATGTATTAATTTCTATCTTTCTCTAAATTATTATTTAAAATGGTGTAAAATGTTATTTTTGTAGCACACAATTTCCATGATCATTTAAGTACACTGGGCGATTTAAATAATTGATATCATAATTACTTTCCTCGAAACTCGCGACTTCACTTTCTATAGAAAATATTCTCTATATCAAGCGATAAACCAATCGGATCGCGGCATTCTCCACAGCACACCAGGCGCGATGGAGAATGTCGCACTCTCATTGGTTAATTATATTCTATAAAGATTATTTTCTATAGAAAGTAGAGTACAAAGAAAACGATCTCTACGGAAAGAAATAAACCAATCGAAAAACGGAATTCTCCACGGCACACCAAGCGAAGAATTCCGCGTTCCGATTGGTTTATTGCTCTCCATGGGAAACCTTTTCTGTGGAAAGTAAAGGCGCGAATTTCAAGATATACCCCCCTGTAGTGTGAACTCATTTTTAAATAATAAAAATATTAGAGCCCACTGGCAAACAAACTGTTTGGTTTATTTAAATGGTAAATTTCGAATTTTGAATCCTAAAGATTTATAATGTTTGTTATGTGATTTTTGTGATTTTAAACTGTTGTGCATGATTTTATTGGAATTGTAGGGAAAAAATTGTCAAAAGGTTATAAGAATGCACAGTTTGTTGACCAATGAAAACTGGCAACAATAATAACATATTACTCTGTAATTGGTGCGTTAAGAGTAAACTTTTCAAGATTTAGACATTTTTCGAAATTTTGAAATTTGTTACCCTCTTTAACTTATTATTTAAGACGGTGTAAAATGTAATTTTTGCTGCTGCGCACATTTAAACGAAGGTAAAAAGTTAAAGCCGCTGTTAAGCGTACTCACTGGAGGCGGGCGTCGTCGGCGTCGTTCCCGAGCGACGCCCGGCGTCGCTGCTGCTATCGGGGCTCCTCCTTCTTGTGCACGCCGCCGCCGGGGTGGTCCTGCGCGAGCGGAGCGGCGCGGGGCGGCGGCGCGCGCAGGTGCGACACGTCCTTGTGCCGCACCTGGGCGGCGGCGGCGGCCGCGGCTGCGGCGTGATGCGCCTGCACGCCGTAGGCGCCGTAGAAGGCGGCGGCGCGGTCCTGCATGGCGGCGTCGACGAGCGGACCGTAGCCGTAGCGGGAGTGGTGGTAGGCGGCGAAGGGATCGTGCGGCGGCGGCGGGGGCGGCCAGTGCGCCGATGCGGAGTGCGGCGGCGCGTAGTGCGCCGCCATCGAGGGGTGCGCTGACATCAGGCGCGAGCGGTCCAGCACGCTCTGGGGCGGCGGTTGGAGGTGGTTTACCGGGTGGCGGAGATAGGGGTGGTAGCTGCGACAAAAACAACCAATCAAAGACAACCAACAAATAAAAAATATAAAAATGTATTAAAAATAGTCAAAGTTTAAAAAAAAAAAAGTAAAAAAGGTAACAAAAAGCCAGCAAAAGTAAAAAATAATTGCCAGAAAAAAAAGCCACAAGTAAAAACCATGTAAAAAATAGTTATTTATGTATAAAGGCAGTAAAGTCGTATTTTTTATCATGAGTGTGGCCAAGGCAAATAACCACGTGAGTGATAAAAAATGACTTTAACGCCGAGGTGCATATTAAATTTTATCTGAAATCATATTTAATAATATTATTAATTAATATTGATAAATAAATCAAATGTCATTTGATGATCAAATCAAATGTCATTTAAATGTTGGAAGTGTCGAAGTATACTGTTTGTTGCGACGGTTATTATATCGCACATGGGCGACAACAGTGTCATAAGTGGTAAAACCTTAATTCCGAGATAATGACAGTCAAAGATTTTTGAATAATAAAATTCTCATATTTCTAAAATTATATTAACTTACAGTAAATTCTTTGCAAAGAAAGAACCACACTAAGATTCTGAGTCAGTAAAAAATTAGATTTTAGAAAATACTCTTTTTGAATAAGAGCTTTTTTTTGTAGATGTGTCTGTCCGAGTCGGATTCCGAGCTTGCTGACTATCGATAACGTAACCCCACTGGGCGGTTGTTTATTATTTTACATATAACGTAATTTATGGTTCCCTTAAATGTGCTTAGTAATCTACAGATGTTAATTTCTTTGGGATGAGTTTCTTTTGCCTAGTGTAGTACTGAACATGAGTGATTAATGACTGCTTATATCAGCCCTTTATGAGTTCTTTGGCTATGCTTGATCTTCTTATAGAAACTGTTGGCGACTAATTAATTCTTACCTGGTGGAGTTTTTTATTAGTTGAGGTCGCGAATTTCGCATTAAAATTTAGTATTTGGGTAATATTAAGGTCATCCAATTTTGGTAAGTTTATGCAGCCTTAGACTTCAGGTGCATTGACATGCAGGTGTTGTGAAATTATTCCTTAATCTCGACAGCCAACTATTAGCACGTGTTGTTTCTGTGTTGGTAATCCAGAAAAAATTATTCGTTATATCCAATAACCTTACTCACACCCTTTTTCACAGGTAGAGCACTTTGGGACTTAATCCTGGAGGAAGTGCCACACGCAAATTGCACCCTTTTTGCACTTGGTTCTGGTAGATCACGTGTAGAATTATGAATTGATTTTATGAATTTGAACACCGATAGCGGTGGTAGCACTATGGAAATACGAACGCGTTAAACGAGACCCTAGACACACGACCGTTTGCCTTAAGGTGAGGAGCGTCACTTATTCATTCTTTTATGGTTGCCAAGTTTAATTTTACTAACCTAAGCTAACAAAATTACTGTCACAACTTACTTATGACACTGTTGATGAAAATTTTGATGGGGATTATATAAATTGCAGACAGACACAAGTGTCCATCTAGGGATTAATTTTAGAAATATCTTTATGCGACTGTTGCAGCATAAACTATGAGTAGTTTTACACTTATTGCACTAAAAACCCCAAAATTCAGTTTTTTTGACTTATGACACTGTTGTCGCCCATGTGCGATATATTTGCCCGCCGCGGCGATTTTTTAATCTAATTAATAAAATTAACTTATTATTGTTAATAAACAACATTTCATGAAAGGGTCCAATCGACCTTCGCGACGGTGCTTTTTTAAATATATAAACAGAGTACAAAAAAGTGAAGAAAAGTTTACAAAACATAAACACAAATTAGGAAAAATCACAGATAATAAAAAAGTCAAGAAAGTTAAAAAAACAACAAAAAGAAAAAATTTTAATAAAAAGTCAAGAAAAGTTAAAAATAATTGTCAAAAAGAGTACAAAAAAGTTAAGAAACGTAAAAAGTCAAAAAGTAAACAATAGTCAAAAAAGTTTACAAAAGTCAAGAAAGTTATGCAAAAAAATAAAGTAAAGAGGGTGTAAAAGTCAACAAAAAGAAAAACCCAACAACCCAACAAGTGAAAAATAATTGTCAAAAAAGTAAAAAAAGACAAAAAGGTCAAAAACATGTAAAAAAAAAAGTTTATAAAAGTAAACTTACACAAATTATGAAATATCGAGGAAAAACGAAAAATACTAAAAAAATTAAAAGAGCAAAAAGGAAAGTGAAGTAAAATTCGAAAAAAGTCGAAAAAAGTTACCCAAAGCAAACCCGTACACAACATATGAAAAAATAATAAAAAAGTAGGTATTAAAAAGTCAAAAAGACTAAAAAAAAATAAAATAAAATAATAATATAATAATAAAATAAAAAGTAAAAAAAATAAAAATAAAATAATTGTCAAAGCAAGTTAAAAAAAACTTTTTAAATAAAAAACTCACAGAATTACTGACCGTGGATCGGGCTGCCGACTCATCATGTGCTGATGCTGCTGTTGTTGCTGCTGCTGCTCCTGCTGCCTGTGCTGCTGCTCCTGCTGTCGGTGCTGCTGCTCCTGCTGCCTCTGAAGGTGGTGCTGCTCCTCCTCTTTTATCGACCTCGGCTCCTCCTTGACGCGAATCAGCTCCGAGGGATCGGCCTGGCCGTTGCGGTGCGGCGACCGGTCCCTCTGCGCATTTCCCGCAGACATCTGTTGCTGTTGCTGCTGCTCGCGTTGCTGTTGCTCGCGCTGCTGCTGCTGCTTGGCCGCGTCGGCCAAGCGTTGCTGGTGCAGCAGCCGCTCGCGTTCGCGCTCCATCTCGCGGCGCTCCAGCTCGCGGCGCTCCTTCTCTCTGCGCTCGCGTTCGCGCTCCTGTTGCTGCTGCAAGTGACAATGTTCGGTTTTAATGTAGAACTAGATAAAAACAAGCACTGTTTTTTGAGTTTCGCGAATTTATTTTAATTTCATTTGACAAATGTTTCGCTGACACAGTAGCTTCTGAAGAAGCTACTGTGTTGACAAATTAAATTAATATACATTCGTGAAACTCAAAAAACAGTGTTTGCTTTTTATCCAGTTATACAGTGTGTATTAAAACGAATAGATACACTTAAATAAAACAAGTGCAAACCTAGAGATGCGACTTAAAAAAAACGGTCCGTTTTTTTTGTTTTTTTTTTCAGGTTTTTTTCATTGTTTTTTTTAAATGGTTTTTTTTCATGTTTTAGGTTTTTTTTCAAGATTAGTCACATTTGCCTAATTTTGTATGTTTCCAGTCCAGTTCGTGGACTAAAATTAGCCTCTAAATGACATTTAGTAAATGTAAATGGTCTCGCGCTTTGCACGCGCCACCACCACCGAATTGACCAATAAGGACCGCGCTTGTTTTGATTTGGTCCTAAAAAAAGTAACTAGGTACCTACAATATTTTTGATTCAGCGCTTGATTTTTCAAAAACCATCAAAAGCACTTTTTATTCATGATTTTTCAAATTCAGGTAGAGTATGGAAATTTTTTTTTCAAAAAAACAATAGCAAATTCTTGTAGAACATTTATTCATTGGTGGTCAGAACATTCCGTGAACCAAAAAAAAAGCCAACAAAATTTCAAGTTTTTTATTTTTTATTACGGTTTTCGTTAGGATTGAGCGTTGCACGTTTTTCATCTAAAAATCTCAAAACTAGACACTTCAAGCTTCAAATTGCTTTTTTTACGGCTCCATTTTTAACGAAGATACAGCTATCCGAAAAATCGCAAAAAACTTGGAATTTTTTTTTCTATTAGTGTAAAAGTTTTACATTGCTATTGGTTTCTTATGTGGAAAATACCAAATAATAAGAAATCAGATTTTTTAGTCTCGATCAAAATTTTCAATAATGAAAAATGTAATATATTCTACATTTCACTTTATTATTAATAATATATATATAATATATTAATAATAATAATAATATATTAATTAATATAAATTTTACTCAAAATTTCATTTTGAAAAATTACTCCATTTTTTAAGATTGATTTTTTTATTTATTGACAGAATATGCTATATTGCGGCGGATTTGAAAAAAAAAAACAAAAAAACCGTTTTTTTTCTAGGTTTTTTTTTCATGTTTTTTTTCACATCTGAAAAAAAAAACCGTTTTTTTACATCTCTAGCCAAACCCCGCCCACTGTGGTAGGGATTGAAGTTATTTCCGTTATTTTAGAATTATTTTTGTTTGAAAATTTATAGGTTTTATTTTTATCGAATTCGTTTGTTTTGTTTTAATGCATTTCTGCAAATAAAAACTAAGTATTGTTTAAAATCCATTAAATTACAGTTACAATGGCGAAAATGTATTTCTTAAAAACTATACACATTTCCCTACGACAGCGTCGGAGCTACTGAAAAAACAGTAGATCAAACTGCATGCCCTTGTATCTGGCTGCATACCGCGATGTTGCCATATGCTATTATTGTTTCCTAAAAGGGTTGTTTTTATTTATTAAATAATTATAAACGTTCTCTTCTGATTTAAAACAACCCCCAATTAAAGTTTGTTTATTTTTCTCTGATCAGAATATAATTTTTCATACTTGATTCTATACAGTCTGTATATTAGTGACATGGAGTTTCATCAAGTAATTGTCAATCGATTGTGTACTTACTTGCTGCTCCAACCGCCTCTGCTTCTCCTCCCGCTCCCGCCTCTCCCTCTCCTCTCGCTCCCTCCTCAACCGCTCCCTCTCGCGCTCCTCTCTCTCCCTTGACTCGCGCTCCCTCTGCTGCTCGAGCACCGGGTCCGGCTTGACGGTCCACGGTGCCGGCGGTTGCGGCGGCGGCAGCCCCGGTAAGGTGGGCGGCAGCTGCGACACCGACGACGGCGGCGGCGGGAAGCGCTGCATCGCCGCCGACCGCCAGGGATCGGCGTGGTGCAGCGCGGCGCTCAGCGAGAGGTGACCGTCGCGGGCGGCGGCCGCGAACGGAGACACGCTGAACGGCGAGCCGGAGGCGGCGCCCAAAGGCCCGCCGCCGTAGCGCGTGAACGGCGAGATTGTCGACGCGCCAGCGGCGAATGGGGATTTTCCTAAAGAAAGTATCACATTTTTAAACATTTCAAAAACATTTTAAAACATTTTTGAATAATTTTAGATTTAGTAGTATGTAAAGGTCATTTTTACCAATTCTTGAAACTTTTGAAAATATTTTCAAACATTTCTAAAAATGCTTGGAAACATTTTTAGGATTTTTAGTGTTTTTAAAATATTTCTATGTCAAAACATTTTAAGAAATGTTTAAAAATATTTTAAATTATTATTTAAGAGTTAGTGATATGTAATGGTCATATTTAAGTTCTAGGAACATTGTAAGATATTTTTAAACATTTCCAAAAATGTTTAAAGATTTAGAAATATTTTACTAAATCTAAAATTATCTAAAATTCTAGGACCATTTTAACAAATTTTTATACATTTCTAAAAATGTTTGGAGATTAAGAAATATTTTAAAAACATTTTTAGAATAATATAAGATGTAGTTTTTTTTACAAATTCTCGAAACATATTAGGATATTTTTAAACATTTCTAAAAATGTTTAGAGATTTAGAAATATTTTAAAAACGTTTTCAAACATTTTTAGAATAGTTTTAAATTTAGTTATATGTAAAGGTCTTTTTATAAATTCTAGGAGCATTTTAACATATTTTTAAAACGTTTTAAAACATTTTAAGAATAATATAAAATAAAGGTCGTTTTTACAAATTTTATCAACATTTTTACAAATTAAAAACATTTCTAAAAATGTGAAGATTTAGAATTATTTTAAAAACGTTTTAAAACATTTCTAGAATAATTTTGTAATATGTAAATGTCATTTTTACAAATTCTAGGAGCATTTTAACATATATTTAAACATTTCTAAAAATGTTTAGAGATTTAGAAAAATTATAAAAACGTTTTAAAACATTTTAAGAATGATAACTCACAAATTCTAGGAGCATTTAAACATATTTTTAAACTTTTTTTATAAATGTTTGGAGATTTAGAAATATTTCAAAACATTTTTAGAATAATGTTAGATTTAGTAATAAATAATGGTCAATTTTAACAAAATCAAGAAACATTTTAAATATTTAAATATTTCTAAAATTGTTTGTATTTAGAAATATTTTAAAACACTCTAAAAATAATATAAGATATAATAATATGTAATGGTCATTTTTAAAAATTCTAGAATCATTTTAAGATATTTTTAAACACCTCTAAAAATGTTTAAACAATTAGAAATATTTTAAAAACATTTTTAGAATAATATAAGATATATATTTTCTAAATATGGATATAATGGATTTATAAATATTTTAAAACGTTTTAAAACATTTTTAGAATAAATTTAAATTTAGTAATATGTAAAGATAATTTTTACAAATACTACAAACATTTAAAAATATTTTTAAACATTTTAAAAAATGTTTGGACATTTAGAAATAATTTAAAACATTTTTAGAATAATATAATAGTAAGTAATAAAATGTAATGGTCATTTTTACAAATTCTAGAAACATTTTAGATACTTTTAAACATTTATAAAAAATGTTTGGAGATAATTTTTAAAACGTATTAAAACATTTTTAGATTTAGTAATATATTAAAAACATTTTAAAACATTTTTTAAATAATTTATGAATTGGTAATAATATTATGTAATGGTAAATTTTAAAATTCTAGAAACATTTTTAGATATTTTTAAACACCAGGTCCTCTAAAATGTTTGAATATTTAGAAATATTTTAAAAACATTTTTAGAACAATTTAAGAGTTAGGAATAGGTAATGGTCATTTTTAAACATTCAAGGAACATTTTAAAATAATTTTAAACATTTATAAAATGTTTGGACATTTAGACACATTTTATAAACATTTTAAGTCATTCTTACCCAAGTGTGCGGCAGTGGGCCCGAACAGGGATCCGGGATGATGCGGCTGCGGGTCGAATCCGGGCGGCCTATGCCCGAACGGCGACAGGTCGTGGTGGGAGGGCGGCCGGGCGCCCGCCCCGTGCGTTGCCGTCGAGTAGGGATGCGTCGGCGGCCTCAGCAGCTCGGTGGACGGCTTGGCGGGCGTTATCTGTCCCTTGGCCTCGCCGCTCTTCTGCTGGTGGTGGTAAATCTCCCACGCCACCCGCACGTGCATCGCGTTCCATTTTCCCGACTTCTACGGAAAAATACGTTTCGTTTTTAGAACCCACCATGACTATCATTTAAATGACTCTTTACAAATTTAAACCGAAAATTTTGTAGAGTAAAATATTTGAACTAAACTTTTTAAAAATCAATATTTTTAAGCTTTAAGTTTAAAAGATTTATTTTATATTTAAAAAATTGTTTTGAGTTTAAAAAAATTTTACATTTTAAATTTTTGACATAAAATACTAAAAATAGAATAAAATATTTTATATAAAGCATTTGTTTGTAACATTTATGGTAAACTATAAATTAATCACAAAATAAACTCATCAAATTTACGAACGTTTATTGGAGCAATAAATTACAGCGGAAACACTCGAAACCGGTGGAAAATTTATATTTACTACCTTTAAACTAACTTTAAGGCAACATCACTTGTTTTAATAACGCTATAACTTTTAATATTCGCGTAATTCAAATTTAATTTGGCGATTAAACCGTTCGTAAACCTACAACAAATACCTTAAACTTTATCTGCTGTTAAAACGTTAATTTTCTTGGCGCATATAAACATTAATGCAGGTTGTAGCGGTTAAAACGTTTATTGAAGGCAAGCCAAAGTACAACAGGATGAATTATAAGCGGTGCTTAGTTTGGGTTAAACCCCTGTATATTTTTTTACGTTTTTAATTTAAAAAATATATACAGGGACTCTGAGACGAGTTAAAGGATGTTACATACCACAATTTTTGGCTTTGTTGGATCGCTAGGCACCGTGGACTGTGGACAAATGAAAATCAAGCGTTAAGGGGGTTGCATAGGGTTCACAGAAAATGGCATGCAAAACTCACACAAGTAATATTTGTTATGCTTTTATATATTCAATTGCATTTATATATTAATAAAGATTAGGACATAAACATGCATACATAAATTTAATTGGATGATGAATATGGAAACCGTGGTTAACATTGGGATTTAGTACAAAATTAATTTTATAAACATTTACCCAAGTAAAATATCTTAAACATGTTTAAAACATATCTAGTCATTCCTAAACCTGTCTAGAATATTTTAAAATCGTCTAAAAAGTGTTTTCAAAAAATTATTACTGTTTTTGTATATTTAGACATTTAAAGATATTATTTAACATGTTTAATACCTTTTTAGATATTTAAAATCAATTTATACATGTATAGAACATTTATGAAATTATTAACAAGTTAAGAACACACTAAGGCATTTATTAGATATTATTTAACATGTTTAATACCTTTTTAGATATTTAAAATCAATTTATACATGTATAGAACATTTATGAAATTATTAACAAGTTAAGAACACACTAAGGCATTTTTAAACATGTTTAGAACATATTTAGTCATTCTTAAACATGTTCAGAACATTTTAAGATCGCCTAAAGTGTTTTAAAAATTTACTTTTAATTTTACGTATTTATCTTAAACATGTTTAAAACATATCCAGTCATTCCTAAACCTGTCTAGAATATTTTAAAATCGTCTAAAAAGTGTTTTCAAAGAATTATTTCTGTTTTTGTATATTTAGACATTTAAAGATATTATTTAACATGTTTAATGCCTTTTTAGATATTTACAATCAATTTATATGTATAGAACATTTATGAAAGTTTAGATACCAAGGCATTTTTAAACATATTTAGAACATATTTAGTCATTCGTAAACATGTTTAGAACAGTTTAAGATTCACTAAAGTGTTTTAAAAAATGTCCTTTTTATTTTACATATTTAGACATTTTAAGATATTATTCAACAAGTTTAATACCTTCTTAAACGTTTGGAACCAATTTATATATTTGTAGAATACGTATTAAATTATTTAACAAGTTTAGACCATATTAAGACATTCTTAAAGATGTTTAGAACAAATTTAGTCACTCTCAAACATGTTTTAGAACATTTTAAGATTCTCTAAAAAGTGTTTACAAAAATTCCTTTAATTTTATATATTTAGACATTTTAAAATATTATTCAACATGTTTAATACCTTCTTAGATAATATTATGTCTTTCTTAAACATGTTTGGAGCATTTTAAAATCTTATTTATCATGTTTAATACGTTCCAGATGTTTGGAAATAATTTATATATTTATAGAACATTTATGAAATTATTTAACAAGTTTAGACAAAACTAAGGTATTTTTAAACATGATTAGAACATATTTAGTAATTCTTAAAAATGTTTAGAACATTTTAAGATTTTCTAAAAAGTGTTTTAAAAAATTAACTTTTAATTTTACAAATTTAGTGATTTTTAAATATTATTCAAAATGTTTAATACCTTCTTAGATGATATTAAGTCATTCTTAAACATGTTGTGAGCATTTTAAAATCTTATTTAGATGTTTGGAACCAATTTATGTGAAGAAATTCTTAAATATGTTTAGAACAAATTTAATCACTCTTAAAAATGTTTAGAACATCTTAATATTCTCTAAAGTGTTTAAAAAAATAAATTTTTAATTTTACATAACTAGACTTTTAAATAATATTCAACATGTTTAATATCTTCTTAGATAATATTAAGTCATTCTTAAAAATGTTTGAAGCATTTTAAAATCCTATTTAACATGTTTAATACCTTAGATGTTTGGAACCAATTGACATATTTATAGAACATGAATGAAATTATTTAACAAGTTTAGACCAAATTAAGACATTCTTTAAGATGTTTAGAACAAATTTGGTCACTCTTAAACATGTTTAGAGCATTTTAAAATCTTCTTAAAAGTGTTTTAAAAAATAACTTTTCTTTTTAACTATTTAGACATTTTAAAATATTATTTACCATGTTTAATACCTTTGATGTTTGGAATCAATTCATATATTTAAAGAACATGTTAGGAAATTATTTATCAAGTTTAGACGACATTCTTAAATATATGTTTAAAACATATTTTGACATTTCAAAACCATTTAAGACATTATGTTTAGAACATTTTAAGACCTTCTAAAATGTGATTTAAAATTGTTTTTACTTGTTTTAAAATATTTAGATATTTTAAGAAAATATTTAATGTTTCTTAACTTCTTGGAAGTTTAGAACAAAATTATACTTACCTGCTCAGAATATTTTAAGACATTCTTAAGGTTAATTGAATATTTTAGGATTAATGTTTATACAGTCTATACAATAATTTGAACAACATTTCAAGATGTTCTAAAAGATGTTTAGAACATGTTTAGACACTCCAAAATTAAAAAAAAAACATAATATATTTTAAGAACACATCTGACACGCTAAATATTTTCTTCGACTTCCTCCTCTTCCTCCACGTTGCCTGCACCGGGAAATTTATCTGCCGCCATGAACATATCCTCCAAGTCCTCTTCATGTTCTTCTTCTTCTTCTTCCTCTTCTCCTGCAACATCAACCCTGGCATGGCTCATAAACTTGGCGATGTCGCCGAAACTGGCGTCGCTGATAATCTCTTTGGCGCTGACATCGAAAGTGTCGTCGGTGTCGGTGTGCTTGCTGCTCGACGTGTCCAAGAAGAACATCTCGCTCATCACGCTGGATTCCTCGCTCGCGATGTCGCTTTCGACCGGCCGGACGTCCGGAGAGTCGTCGGTCGCCAGCAGCAGCGAAATGTTGAAGTCCAACAGCGGCCTCTCCTTTTCCTGGATTCCCGCCTGTTCCTCCTTGGTGCCGACCATTTTGTGCTTGACGGTGGGGAACGTGGTGCGAAGCAGAACATCGTCCAAGGTCAGGTCGTCGTCGGGCGACAATTCGGGGCTTCTCAACGGCTTACGTGGCAGTATCGCAGCCTGCGACGCGGCTGGTTCTTCTTCGATCAGTTTTCGTAATACCTGCGTTATGTTTAAAGTCTTGTAGTTCTCTTTGGCGAAGTCTATGTTGCACTGCATTTCCGCCTGTGCGTAGGATAACTTCATGTTTTCCGCTTTTGCGACGTCCAAAAGCCACAGCAACCTTCGCTTATTCGACTCCACGTTGCTTATATTCTGCCGGGTGATTTTGTTTACGTACGACAAATTATGAATGACAGTCCTAGTTTTACTGATCTTGGTCAGCTGCGCGGGACATTGTATCAAAGTTTTGTCCGTCTGCATTTGGCATAGTCTATCCATTTCTTCCTTCAATCTCATCTCCATCTCCTTGAGCAACTTAGCCTGCAACCCCACCTTCTTGATGTTCTCGGTCTTGTTGGATTTCAAGAGGTCATTCTCCAAAGTTATGGCGGTGATGTTTGCCGTTAAAGTTTCATTGTTCTCATTGATTTCATTCAAACCGATTAGAAGCATGTCGATTTCGTTGTTAATAGCGACATTTTTGCTGGTCATTTTGCGAAGCGTCGGGTGCATTTTACGGTCAATTTCCTCCTGGAAGTCCGACGATAACTGCATAAGACTGTTCTCCATGTCTCTTGTCAACTTATTCTTGGCAATTTGGAACTTTAGGTTTATTTCCGCTATTTCTTCTTGGTGTCTTTCTTCGTTCTCCTCGAGGTACTTCTCTTTTAAATCGAATTTTTCCAACAACTCGTCCTGTTGATCTCTAAACTCCTCCAAAGCATTCAGCGTCCCTGCCAGCTCCTTATTCTTCGTTATCAACGTCTGTCTAACCTCATCGTATTCCTCCTCCATTTCTTTTATCCTCTCTTCGTACTCTTGAGTATCTTCGACCGTAGTTTCCTCGATATTCCTAATAGCATCTTGAAGGTTCCTTACTTCCTCATTTTTATCCGCCAGCTGCTGACGCAGAAGCTTAATAACGTCGTTTTTCTCCTCGTCGTTCTTCTCGAACTTTTCCTCGCACGTCTTGCGATTTTGCTCGTCCTCTTCGTTCAACTCTTTTAGCCTGTCTATTTTCCGGTTGATTTCGGCTATGTGCAGCTCGTAGAATTTACGGTCCACTTCCGTTATTACCGTCGGCTTCATGTTCTGCTTCTTCTGTTTGTCTTTGCCTTTACCTTTACCTCTGTCTTTGGACTTTGCCATTTTTATATTAGTTAGTTGGAAGAAATTAAATTTGTGCAAATAAATAAATGTAATAATTGTCAGTCAAGTGTTGAGTGACAAATTACAAATGACAGTCCCAGTTTTACTGATCTTAGTCAGTTGCGCAGGACACTGTATCATAGTTTTGTCCGTCTGCATTTGGCAAAGTATATCCATTTCTTCCTTCATTCTCATCTCCATCTCCTTGAGCAACTTGGCCTGCAACCCCACCTTCTTCATGTACTCGTACTTGTTGGATTTCATGAGGTCATTCTAGAAAGTTATGGCTGTGATGTTTGCCGTTAAAGTTAGTAGCATGTCGATTTCGTTGTTTATAGCGACATTTTTGCTGGTCATTTTGCGAAGCGTCGGGTGCATTTTACGGTCAATTTCCTCCTGGAAGTCCGACGATAACTGCATAAGACTTGTTTGTTTCCGCTATTTCTTCTTGGTGCCTTTCTTCGTTCTCCTCGAGGTACTTCTCTTCTAAATCGAATTTTTCCAACAACTCGTCCTGTTGATCTCTAAACCCTCCAAAGCATTCAGCGTCCCTGCCAGCTCCTTATTCTTCGTTATCAACGTCTGTCTAACCTCATTGTACTCCTCCTCCATTTCTTTTATCCTCTCTTCGTACTCTTGAGTATCTTCGACCGTAGTTTCCTCGATATTCCTAATAGCATCTTGAAGGTTCCTTACTTCCTCATTTTTATCCGCCAACTGCTGACGCAGAAGCTTAATAACGTCGTTTTTCTCCTCGTCGTTCTTCTCGAATTTTTCCTCGCACGTCTTGCGATTTTGCTCGTCCTCTTCGTTCAACTCTTTTAGCCTGTCTATTTTCCGGTTGATTTCGGCTATGTGCAGCTCGTAGAATTTACGGTCCACTTCCGTTATTACCGTCGGCTTCATGTTCTGCTTCTTCTGTTTGTCTTTGCCTTTACCTTTACCTCTGTCTTTGGACTTTGCCATTTTTATATTAGTTAGTTGGAAGAAATTAAATTTGTGCAAATAAATAAATGTAATAATTGTCAGTCAAGTGTTGAGTGACAAATTACAAATGACAGTCCCAGTTTTACTGATCTTAGTCAGTTGCGCGGGACACTGTATCATAGTTTTGTCCGTCTGCATTTGGCAAAGTATATCCATTTCTTCCTTCATTCTCATCTCCATCTCCTTGAGCAACTTGGTCTGCAACCCCACCTTCTTCATGTACTCGTACTTGTTGGATTTCATGAGGTCATTCTCCACAGTTATTGTCTTTACCTTTACTTTTACCTCTGTCTTTACCTTTACCTCCTTCTGCAATTGTCAGTCGAGTGTTCAAATGACATTTTGAAATGTTATTGGAATGTTAATTATGTTTAAAATACATTAAGAACGTCTTAAAAGGTTCCAAGATGAGCAAAACAACATATCGCATTTTTTTGTACGTACCTTGGGCTGGAATGGTGGCAAATGGTTTGGCGGCGCGAAAGGCGTCGGCCCTGTCGTCAAACCGTGGTGCATCAAGCCGGGAGCCGAATATCCGGGATAATTCGGCATGCCGAGGTTTTGCCGGTAGAACGGCGACTCCACGCTGCCGATTTTCGGAATATCCTTGAACTAAAACATTGAAACGCGTGTAAACGAATTTCGCAAGTGCAAAATTTTTTTGTACTTACACTGCTTTGACTTCTTCTCGCTAGGCGTTCCATCGGCGACATTGTCTAGAGTGGAGGGGAAAAGTGAAATTAAATTAAACGGAAAATGATTCGCTGAAAAAAATAATCACGGAAACACTGAGAAGAACTTACCAGTGGAGATGGGAAGATTGAAGAGGCGGCCGGTGGCGGCAGCAGAGACGTCGTGTGCTGATGCACGTGCGTGTGGTGGTGCTGATGTTGGTGCATCTCGGTTCTCAGGTAAGGAGGTGGCGCCACCCCCAGAGATCGGTCTTGCGACGCTAGGAACCGATTGTCGAGCTCTCTCCGCAGCATGTCCGTTTGATCTGAAATTTCGTTTTGCGTAAGGTTTATCCTGAAAACGTCGAGAACTTTACTCACTGTTTTGGAAGAGGCTCTCGGCGGAGAAGGGGTTGGGATTGGCGGCGACGGGCGGCGTCGTCAGCGGACTGGGCGCCGAAACGGGCGGCGGCATCGGGGCGGCGAACATGGGCGCCGCCGGGAAGGACGCGTGCAGGGGCGGCGTGGGTCGCGGCGGCGGCGGCGCCGGACTGAGACGCGGCGCCGCCGACGGCAAACCGCTCGACGTCGCCGGCTGCTGCTGCGTCGGCGGAGGCGGCCACGGCTTCGGGGCGGGAGCCGGGCCGCCGACTCCGCCGCCGCTCGTTAGTAGACTAGAAGACACTGCGGTGGTTGATGATGACGAGGGCGGCGGACAGCTAAGCGTCGTGGTGGATGCGCTGCTGCGGCTCAGACTCGTCACGCTGCTGCTAGTTATTTACATGTTTAGAAAATACTTAAATCGTCTAAAATGTTCTAAAATTCCCCAACAACATTATATAATTTTCTAACAATGTAAAAAATGCTGAAAATATCTTAAAATGTTTTAACAATCTTTAGAATGTCTGAAAAACATTTTAAGAATGCTTAACAATGTTGTCAAATGTGCCAACATTTCAAAATGTTCTAAAAATGTTTAAACAATACCCCAAAAACATTATATAATGTTCTAACAATGTTAATGTTAACCATGTGTTTGAATGTTTCAACAATCCTTAGAAAGTTTAAAAAAACATCTTAAGAATGCTTTGAAATGTTTAACAATGTCTAAAATCTTTAGAATGTCTAAAAATATTTTTAAAAGGTTTTAAAATACCACAAAAACATTACATAATGTTCTAATAATGTTAAAAACGCCAATGGTTAGCGTTTTTAATATTTTTAGAACATTATATAAAGTTTTTATAATGTCTTTAAATGTTTAAACAATCTTTACAATACATTGTAAGCATGCCTTGAAATAATTATTTTATTTAAAAGGTTTTAAAATATTCCAACAACATTATAGAATGATATAACAATGTTAAGAATGCTAACAATGTCTTAAAATGTTTGAACAACCTTTAGAATGTCTAAAAAAATATTTTAAGAATGTTTGAAATGTTTAACAATGTTTTAAAATGTCCCAAGATTTCAAAATGTTCTAAAATTGTTTAAACAATATCCCAAAAACATTATATGAAGGGGTAGAAGCAAAAGGGTTCAATGGAATTTTAGCATAAAAATAAGTTAAGTGCAGAATTGGGTAGTTCCAATTTTTGCTAAAAATTTTCTCATAACGTGAAAATTGTACGAGTTCTGCATGTTGATTAATCCAAACAACAATATTGACACAAGTATACAGATTTTTGTATACAAAAAATTTAAGTTATAACTTCACTTCTCGGCCATTTCAAGCGGATGGACGGGACAAACATAAAACTGTTTTTATAAAAAAAATTGTAGGTAACTTATTATATATTATTTTTGCATCAAAATTGTCAAATATATTCTTCTATTATTAGGCTATACATTAAATAAAAATAATCGCAAGAAATATTTGATAAAGAAAGATAATTTCAATAATTGACAGGGGTGGACGGGACAAGATAAATCTTTTTTTTGTCCCGTCCACCCCTTTCAATTATTAAAATTATATCTACTTTCATAAAATATTTCTTGCGTTTTTTTATTTAATGTATAACCTAATAAAAGAAGAATATTTTTGACAATTTTGATGCCAAAATATTATATAATAAATAATCTACAATTTTTTTTATAAAAACAGTTTTGTAATTCGTGCGTTTCGCGCGCTTGAAATGGCCGTTCTCTTTTTTGCACTTGTACCCTTTTGCTTCTTACCCCTTCATATAATGCTTTAACAATGTCAGGAACGCTAACAATGTCTTTAAATGTTTCAAGAATCTTTAGAATCTCTAAAAACATTTTAGGAATGCCTTGAAGTGTTTAACATTGTCTAAAAGATTTTAATACATCCCATTATTTAACAATGTTCAAAATGCTAACAATGTCTTAAAATGTTTCAACTATCTTTAGAATGTCTAAAAACTTTTTAAAATGCTTTAAAATGTTTAAAAATGTCTAGAAGGTTTTAAAATATACCAACAACATTATATAACAATTTTAAGAATGCTAACAATGTCTTAAAGTGTTTCAACAACCTTTAGAATGTCTAAAAAAATATTTTAAAAGTGTTTGAAATGTTTAACATAGTTTTAAAATGTCGCAACATTTCAAAATGTTCTAAAAATGTTTAAACAATACCCCAAAACATTTTATAATATTCTAACAATGTTAAGAACGCTAACAATGTCTTTAAATGTTTCAACAATCTTTAGAATGTCTTAAAAAACATTTTAAGAATGCTTTGAAATGTTTAACAATGTTTTAAAATGTTCTAAAAATGTTTAAACAATACCTCAAAAACATAATATAATGTTCCAACAGTGCTAAGAACGCTAACCATGGCTTTAAATATTTTAACAATCTTTAGAATGTCTAAAAAAGATTTTAAGAATGCTTTGAAATTTTAACAATATCTAAAAGGTTTTAAAATATCCAAACAACATTATAGAATGTTCCAACAATGTTAAGAATGCTAATAATGTCTTAAAGTGTTTTAACAACCTTTAGAATGTCTAAAAAAACAATTTAAAAATGTTTGAAACGTTTAAGAATGTTTTATAATGTCCCAACATTTCAAAATGGTCTAAAAATGTTTAATTAATGCCCCAACACAATTATATAATGTTCTAACAATGTTAAGTATGCCAATAGTGTCTTAAAATTCCAGAGAAGGTTTAAAAACATTTTAAAAATGCCTTTAAAATGTTTAACATTGTCTAAAACGTTTTAAAATGTCTAAACAACATTTTAAAATGTTAAAAAATTGATAAAAATGCCAAGAACGTCTTAAAATGTTTTAACAATGTATAAAATGTCTTAAAACATTTCAAAAATTCTTTGGAATGTTCAAGAATATCTAACATGTTTAGAACAGCGAAATATACATACCTATAACTTTCCCTTTCTCGTTCCCTATCCCTATCCCTTTCTCTCTCCCTCTCTCTATCACGTTGCTCCCTGCTTGCGCCGCCGCTGGTCGCTGAGGCATGGGGACTGGGCACCCGAGGCAAGGCGGCGACCATCTTGGGAGGCGGCGGTAGCAGCTGATGGAGCGGTTCCCGTTCGTGGGGCGGCGCCGCCCTGTGACCGCCCGCCGTGCTGACTGCGGTGGCCGGCGGTGCCGCCATGCTCGCTATCGACGGCGGCGGTGGGAGCGGCGCCGCCGCCGCAGACGACGACGTTCCCATCGACGTGTATTGGGTGGTTGTGCTGTGCACCGAGGCGTAGGGCGCGTAGAGCGGCTGGTAAGACGGGTGGTGGTACGCCGGGGACGGCGCCACGGCGGCGTTCGCCGACGTCGCCACCGCCGGGCTGTCGGCCGTCCGCATCGCGTGGCCGCCCGGCATTGCCGACGAGTCGAGCGCGGGCGGATGGTGGGAGGCGGGCGCCGCCGCCGCCGGTTGCGGCGGCAGGGCGGCGGCGGCCGTCGGTACGCTCGCTTGCGGCGGCGGATGCATGCCGCTGCTTATTGCTGGCGTGGCTGGAGCCGGTGAAGACACTAAAGTTAAAATTAAGGATGTTAAAAATTAAGACTACCAAGAATATAAAGAATACTAGATATGTATAAAATAAGAATTGTTTGACAATGTTTAAAAATATGCATAAACGTTAAACCATGTATTCAAAATGTTGAGCAATGTCTAAAATGTGCAATAATATATAAAATTGTTTTGTAATTTTTAGTGGTTAATAATGAGAATGGGTCATAATTCATTAATTTTATAAAACGTGTTTTAACAAACCGTACTTAAATTATGTTCTCCATTGTCTAAAACACGTTAAAAAATGTTTCACAATGTCTTAAAATATGCAGAAACCATGTTTTTAAAATATTGAGCAATGTCCAAAATGTGCGTAATATTATTTAAAATTGTTTTCAAATTTTTAATAGTTAAAAATAAGAATAGATCATGTTTCATTAATTTTATAAAACATGTTATAACAAACTGTACTCAAATAATGTTCTCCATTGTCTAAAACACGTTAAAAAATGTTTGACAATGTCTAAAAATATGCAAAAACGTTAAACCATGTTTTAGAAATGTTGAGCAATGTCCAAAAGGTGCAATATTATCTAAAAACAGACAATATTTTATAAATGCTTAAAAACATGTTTTATTAAACCTTCTTTAAATGATGTTCTTCATTTTCTTATATTAAAAAATGTCTAAAATTATTCAGAAACGTTAAACCGTGTTTTAGAAATGTTGAGCAATGTACAAAGGTGCAATATTATCTAAAATTGTATTTTAATTGACACCAAAGTTAAAGCTAAGAATGTTAAAAATTAAGAACACCAAAAATACTAAAAATTTTGAGAATACCAAGAAGAATGTATAGTATAGAGATGTATAAAATTAGGATGTATGCTTGAAAATGTTTAGAATATTATGAATACCAAGAAAAAATTACAAACATTCTAAAAATGTTAAGAATATATAAAGATGATAAAAATACCAGGCTTAGAAGCCACTAAAACGTTGAAAATGACAGGATTTACAAACAAGTTAAAAGTACTAAGTTTGAACCTATTTAAATGTTTAGAGTAATAAAGAAATTAAAAATACTGATAAAAATACAATAAGATTTTTAAGAATTATAATAAAACCAAAAATCTCACCTGGTATCGGTTTGAGTAGCCCGGGGGCGGTCGGCCCAGCGGCGGTAGCAGCCGACGGCGTTTGCGTGGTTGTCGCGGGCGCCGATGGTATTGTGGCGGCGGCCAGTATCGGCGGATGATGGTGCGGAGGCTGCTGGGCGGGCGCCGGGGACGGCGCGGGCACGTTGGGCGGCGTGGGAGCCGGCACCGGCGAGCTGCTGGCGCCATTGTTCGGGAGGCTGGGCGGCAGCGCGCCTGGGAACTCGTGCTTTCTCGACGCCGGCGTCGAGGCAAATATCACCGAGCTGGCATCCGATCCCTACAAAAAAAAATAATTTAAAACCTCCTAAAAGTAAACATGTATATATATATATATATATATATACAGGGTGTTATGTAATTAATGTTATATATTAAAATGGGTAGTTCCTTAGGGTCCATAAAGAAGCACCTGAAACTTTTTTTTCTAAATTCCAAAGACTAAAAATAATTTATAATAACCTTTATCCTACCAAAAAGTACGCCACTGATCGACTAGGAACCGCGGATTAACCTTACCTATTACTTTTTAATGCAGTGTTGCCAAATGTAAAATTAAAAATGTATTACCTTATATGAGATGCTCAAAATGATATCATTATTTAGAATGCAAGCTTAAACTCTGCAAAGCATGCTTTCGCGCACCCGCGTAAAAATGTCTGGACTATTAACAATTAAGTTCCTGAGTTGCTGCCCAAATCCCGTCTCTCGTAAATGTGGCCTCATCGGTATACAAAACACTACCTACGGCTCCAATCAGCATCTTCTTGATTTTTCTGTATATACCAATGGCAAAATTCCAACCGCAGTGCATAATCTCCATTCTGAAGAGCTTGAACTTTTTGTAGTTGATAGGGCACAAACTATTTTCGTGAATCGTGCGCCACGTAAAAAAGTTGGACATTTGTCCAAGTTGGGCAGTTAATCGTCTTGTACTAATTCTCGGATTTGCTTCCACTTCGTCCAAAATTTGTTCTTCAAGGGTCACAAATTCACGTCCCTGAGCCCGACCCCTATCACCAACAAATGCGCTAAATCTTCCGCGGTCCCTTAAATTTTGCATAGCACGTACAAAACTTTGCTCCAAGGGCGGTGGATGTCCGTCATTGGCGTTGTGATAATTTTGAATATTCAAATGCTCGTCAAGCAAGAATTTTGTAGGTATACCTACAAAATTCTTGCTTGACGAGCATTTTGCATCGCTTCCCCGTAACACAAAACCATATTTGTTAATTGAATATTTGTGAGCGCCCGACCCGCCATAGCATAAAATCTTTCGCACTAATTACTTATTATTATTACTAATAAAATACAAAATTTCAAACTTTCAAAATATTTATAAAAGAATGAAAACCTGAAATAACTTGAAAAAAAATAAAAACCTGAAATCGCTAGATCACTAATTAAACCTTGTAAAAATTTGTAAACTAATGATTTTTTAAAAATCGTTTTAACATTGTGATTTAAAAACATACTTATAAAAAATATATTTAAATTTAGACACACCAGATTTAAACTTTATTCATAATTCGTAATGATTTACTTTACTTTAAGTTAATCTGGTTTAATTTATTATGTTATAGTTGGTAACACATTCTGTCAAAAAATTGTAGGTTATGTGCTCAAATTGTAAATATCTTAACTAAGGGAAGTGCTTTTGGGCGTTTGGATTTATTTACACAAATTGAATGTTTAACGATTAACCTGTGAACTTGTCCTAATTTCATCTGAGTAAACAGATGAAAAAATTAATTTTATGGAGTTTTTAAATAGGTACTAATTTTTCTTATCATTGCTTAAGTTAATAGCTGGATGAGTAAATAAATACAGAATGGTATTAGAGCTTTAAGGGCTTAAAACTTTTGTATTTATTGAGTTTTTATTTATTTTATGCAAGAAAATTTTTTAGTAACAATTTTTTACAACTGGCAACGCGCAGCTACTTTGTTGGTTTGTATCTATGTACTCACAGAACTCAAGTGTGTAACCAGTGGCTATCACAAAAAATATAAAAAACTTCTAATGCATATATTTTCTTTATCTTTGGGAAAATATCTTTTAAAATATTTTTCCATTACACCTTATGTCAAAAGGTATTCAGTGTTTTAATATATAACATTAATTACATAACACCCTGTATAATATTTAATGTTTTAACAATGTTGAGAACACTTTTCAAATCCAAAACAATGTTTATTAAAAAATTAATAATCGAAAAAAAACTATGCTTGTTGTCCTTAGTCAGCACCGTAACAGTAAAACTAATTCCGATTTAAGACTTTATCCTTCGACAAATAGCCGCCGTTAAGACATCCTTACCGTGTCAAAGTGTAATGGGACATCGTAACATTTCGGAAAATGACCCTGTACACTATTTTAAATGCCGGCTTACTTTCCCATTGAACCATTTAAAATCTCGACGAGCCAATTCGCATTAAGGGGCTTTCTTTAGTTTTAAGTGTTAAAGCTTTGCGAAACGATAGCCGTTAAGTTTTGAGTAAGTACGGTTTGGCAAAATGCCCTGCATAAAGAATTATTGATTCCCACAAACTTTTAGTAATATTTACAATTTCTAAATAACCGTTTTGGAAAGTAAAAAGATTTAAAATATTTAAAAACATTAATAGTGTTAACAATGTTTAAAGAATGTTTAAAAATGTTTTACAATGTTTAAAATGTGTAGACATTTAAAAACTTCAAAAACGTTAATAATGTTAACCATGTTTAAAAATGTTGAAGAATGTTTAAAAATGTTTTACAATTTTTAGAATGTTTAGATATCTACTTCTAAACATATTTCACAATGTCAAAAAATCCCAAATGTTCGGAAACGTTTCAAATGTTTGCACTATGTCTAAAATTAAAAAAATATACTTAAAAATGTATAAAAATGTTTTAAAAACTATGAGAAATGTTTAATAATTTCAATTGCTCCGATAAAATTGTAATTGATAGTCTTTTATATTGGAAAATAGCCGTACACAATGCTCTCGAGACATTTTTCAATTCAAGCCAATAAAATAGATCAACTTGTTTAAGTGATAAATTGGCTTGCTTAATCTTCCGTGCGAAGCACTTGGAATGTTTATTTGGGCAAATCAAAGTTTTCCGTTTGTTGTCGTCATTGATCCTGTGCAAGCAGCTTCGAGGGTCGAAATAAAATTTAAATCTCATTTGACTGGCATTTCACGAAAAAGGACGATTTAATCTGTTTTATCGGGAAAGCGGGAGATAATTCGATTTCAGCTTTTAAAATTAAACGGGGTTCATTTTTTCGCTCCTTTGGACCGAAATCAATAAAAACACCCTTCGTTTCACGAAAGACCGGTTAAAAACTTTTAAATTTTTTACTGTGTAAATTGAGTTTGGGATGTATTAAACACGAAAAAGATGAATGAAACAAGAAACTTTTTAGTCCTCTTGTTGGATAAAATTCCATTTTATTCAAAAGCAATTTCTAAATAAATAAACTTTAATGTTTTAAATGTTGCAAACATGTTTTATTAGCTTATGAAATTATTTAAAATATTTCTAAAAACCGCTTTTATCTCAAACAATTTAATACATGTTGCAATATTATCTAAAATTGTTTGCTAATTATCAGTATTTAATAATAAGAATAGTTCATGTTTCATTAATGTTATAAAACATGTTTTAACAAACCGTACTTAAATAATGTCTTGTCCTGCCTAAAACACGTAAAAAAATGTTTGACAACAGAAATGTTAAGCAATGTCCAAAATCTGCAGGAATATCTAACATTGCTTTCAATTTTTTAGTAGTTAAAAATGGGGATAGATTGTTTTCATTTTTTTACTAGTTAAAAAATGGGGATAGATTATGTTTTATAAATAAAACATGTTTTATTTACTTAAATAATGTTCTTTATTGTCTAAAATACGTTTTCTAAAAAATATCCACAATCGTTTAACCATATTTTAGAAATGTTGAGCAATGTCCAATATAATCTAAAATTGTTTTCTAATTTTCAGTAAATAATAAAAATAGATCATGTTTAATTAATGTTATAAAACATGTTTTAACAAAGCGCACTAAAATAATGTTCTCCATTGTCTAAAACATAAATAAATGTGACAATATCTAAAAATATGCAAAAAAGTTAAACCATGTTTTATAAATGTTGAGCTATATCCAAAATGTGCAATATCTAAAATTATTTTCAAATTTTTAGTAGTTAAAAATGGGTGTAGATAATGTTTCATAAATGTTTTAAAAACATGTTTTACTTACTTAAATGATGTTTTCTATTGTCTAAAACACGTTAAAAAATTTAGAAATGTTGAGCAATGACCAAAAGGTGGAATATTATCTAAAAATCGTTTTCTCATTTTCAATAGTTAATAATGAGGTTAGATAATGTTTAATAAATGTTATAAAACATGTTTTAACAAACCGTACTTAAATAATGTTTTCCATTGTCTAAAACACGTTTGACAATGTCTAAAAATATGCATAAACGTTAAACCATGTCTTAAAAATGTTAAGCGATGTCCAAAAGATGTAATATTATCTAAAATTGTTTTCTAACTGTCAGTACTTGAAAATTAGGATTGATAATTGTTTAAAATTGGCTCTAAATACCGACTGTGTTCGTCACAAAAGCCAACGGTCGAGCCGTATTGAATGAATCAAGTCCTGCCTGTTTTAAGTGATTTAAAGCGATACGAACGTAAAAGTAAAACGGCGATGACAACAAGGCCCTGACTGACGCGTTAAATTTACCAAATAAAATGTTACGATTATTGTCTACTGAAAGCGATTGTCGTTTCCGTGGCATAAATTTTAACGGCTCCAGAGAATTGGCTATTTTAAGGATTTTCTGGATTATAGAATTAAGGGTAATGTTGATGGGTAGGTGGATAAATAAAATCATAGTAATAAAATAAAACCTTTCTAACATTATTAAACCTTCGTAGGTAATTTGAGAGGATTTAGAACATTAAAAACATGTTTTTAGACATTCTAAACATTTTTAGCATCTCGCTCAAACATTCTGGATATTAAAAAAAATGTTTTATAAATTCTTGGACATTTTAGGTACTAATCATTATTTACAACTTAAAAAATTTTGAATTAAAAAAACTTTGCAAGGCACGCGGCCCAGACAGTTTTAGAAGTTTCCTTAACATCGACGTTTTGAGATGAGAGGCAAAAAGGTGAAGAAAAAAACGTATAAAGAAGAGAGGGGCGGTCGGACGGCGGCGGCAGCGGCGGCGGGTGCACGTCGTCGCATCTGCGGATTATCGATTAGAGGCGCGT